ATCTGTGGCCAGGGTCGAAAATAAAATTTTATTCACCAGTCGAAAGGTTTCTGCGAACAATAAACGGTAAATAAATGAGTAAGGTAGAACTGAAGGTAGAAAAATAATAACGTGCCTTTGAAATGTATCGCTTTCATTGAATTCTTTTTGAACATGGATCATCTCATACACCAAAAGGAAATAGCACTTTATATTATCTATTCCGTGTCCTTTTCAATCTATATTAGATGTCGTTCCCCAAGTAAAGGAGTTTCTAGAAGGTGTGGTCGAAATATATTAAACTTCGAAGTGGTGATCAGCTTTAATTTATGTTGTACTTCTGTCGAACTGCCTTTGGGGGAATCAAAAGGGTTAAATTAGTATATCACTTTCCGTGAGAGTATCTCCAGATTACATGAAAACTTCAACCTCCAATCTAGCTTGCTAATAGATCTTCAACTAATACTAGCGGACCCGTTGAACCTCGTTTCGCCTAACAGTCAATGAACAGTCTGTTTTGCCAAATCACCTCGGACGGATTTAGTATTCAACATTATATGCAAATTGTGAAATTGTTTTACCAGAATAAGTGTTCTATTTTGGCAACGTACCGCGCGCTTCGCCCATTTAACGGTAGTCATAATCGTCCCAGCGAGAGGACTATTCGCAATGGTAGATATAGTATAGTCCACTGGTTCAGTAAACGATCGACTAACACCCGTACGTCGACAGGACGCAAGATCTACCGAAAACGTCGCCGCTGACTGTGAGAGTGTGCAGAAGAATCCAAAGGTGTCGATTTCATGTCGCGTTTTGCAGACCACAATTTGGTGAATTTTGCGTCATAACTTGGGCCTGCACACATACAAAATTCCACTGACGTGTGTTCGTTGAATGGGCTCTGGAGCAGTTGCCGACTAACCCTAATTTTATCGAAGAATTATATCCAAAAGCCTCCACTGCATCCCGTAAAAGACACTGTTTGGTATAGATTTTGGGCTGGCGGCACTATCGGTCCATATTTCTTTGAGAACGACTTTGGCTAGGCCATCACTGTCAAGAGCACTATAGGGTGATGATTACCACTTCTTTTGGCCTGAATTGAATGATCCAATGATATCAATGACATGTGGTTTCAACCGGACGGCGATACCTGCCACACAGTTCATGCTGATATTTTGCACGAGCGATTTGAAGGCATGGTCTTCTCACGTGGAGCTAATGTGAACTGGCCACCGAGATCGTGCGATTTGGCCCCGTTAGACTTTTTCTCGTGAGGTTTTCACAAGTCGCAGATGAAAGCCAATGAGCTACAAACCACAGTGACCCTCAAAGCTAACATAACCCATGCCATCGGCCAAATTCGGCGTGATTAATGCGCCAGAGTCATTGACCATTCTTATGCGCTCCACCCAGAGAAGCCATAGCGGATATTTGAACGAATGCAAAATTTAGATGATATCTCACACATTTTTTTTGGTACCTTGGGAGCTGTCTGACTTGTCCATTTAGTCCAAGTCTCCAGAAAACACTGCAGCCTCTTGGGCTTATTGCGTATATTCTCCCATCTTCTCATGACACCTATTCCATCAGTCTCGTTCCCTATATAAGTTAGTAGTACAGGTTCCGTGTTGGATGTTCGTCATATTCTTCTGGGCGTGATTTTGTACGTCCATATTCAGTTCTTCATGGCATTCCCAGGTCAGTTTTGATGTCACCTTCGGGTTTGTCAGAGCTCCTAGTGCGCTCTTGCTGTCTATTAAAATATTGATCAAGGACGCGATGACGCGACTTGAAGTTATTATTTGAACCAGGGAATTCTACTCACGTCCGGTTCGATGACTAATTCTGTGTTCTTACTTCTTCACTCTCACTATTGTTCTCAAGAGGTTATTTTTACGCTGCGCGGGAACGGGCAGTGCCGTAGTCCACGCTTTGGCCATGCACGCATTCGGTTATTGACCACCGGTCGATCGGTGAGGTTAGCAGTCAACTTGATAGTGACGTCAGCTTCGGGAGATTACTGGTTCTTCACTCTCGAATTCTTGGAACAGAACCACATGCTGGAAGAAGAGGAAATTCCCCCTTGAATCGTTTTAATTGATTGATTCAATAGAATATTCACACACACAGACTTCGATTCATTCAAATTCAAATATAGGAAGGACCTGATGAAAGACCCTTCATGATGTGGATTTTTGCTTGCACAGACAGAGGGCGAATCTCGTTCGGTGGTCGATGTCAAAACTTGGCTTTGCAACTGACCGCCTTTGGGAGGCGTTCATCCTTGATATTTTGGGATTGGGTCTTCTGTCGATCCCATAGATGGCATCTTCGTAAGGAGGGTGATGCCATCATCTTTACTAATTAATATTAATATTGATCATTTACCAGTTTTCTATAAGTAATATTGCATTATAATTGTTTCTTCAAATTCTTCCTATATTGTCAGAATCAGTCATTTATCTAATTAGGTTTTGTACTACTCACTGGGTATACAGTGCTTTTCTTTAATGTCCCCCCTTTTATATTTTGAAAGAGTCAACTCAAAATATTGAAATTTGGAATAATGAAATGATTGTGAAATTGACAGATGAATCTTTCAAGATGACGACTGGGCGCCATCTTGAAAAAGAAATAAAATGGAAAGGATGGTCTTGTGACACATCTTTCTGAAGCTTCTGACAAATGCCTCACAACCCTAGAACATAATATCAATTGCTACAAAATGGCGAAACTTTTAATAATTGCCTGAATACATTGACATTTAACTACATAATATGAGGTTATAAGCTTGAGGTCAGTCCAGAATATGCCCGAAGTGGTTGCCTTGAATTTTTTGACAGCCTATCCGCTATTTCAGCCAAAAATTTTCGAACACAGTAACGTCAATATCTCTTCAAATATTTATTATTCTATGCCGTATATCCAATATTGAAGCAGGTTCAGTTTCCTATACTTGTTGCTTCAAACTTATCCCATAAAAAGTCCAAAGGTGTCAAATCTGGCGAGCGGGCTGACCGTTCTGTAGGACCTCGACGGCCAATCCAACGACCGAAAATAGTACTATCCAAATTTTTTCTTACTTGTCTGAGAGACTCAACAGTAGTTTCCAGCATATTCAAATACAGTTCCCCTGTTAAATTTCAATAAATAAATAGAGGTCCTACAATATGGTCTCCCAATATTTCTGCCCAAACGTTAATTATTTCTGAATATTGGGTATGTGTTTCCCGGAAAACGTGAGGGTTGGTATCACTTCAATAACGGCAATTATGTCTGTGAACATTGCCGTTAAAGAAAATGTACATTCGCCACTAAAACAAATATTGTAGACATAGGTAGAATGCCTTGCAATAGTTTCCGTTATGATTTCGCAGAATTCTGTTCTTCGATCAGGGTCATCTTCAGTTAATTGGTGTACCATTTTAATTTTGTATTCCTCTTCAAAATTATCCACACCGTAGAAGGAGACACATCACAAATATTCGCGCCGGAATAAGTAGACGGTTGCACTTGCTGTTCTTCCGGAATGGACGGATGACCTGGGGTCTTTTTGTTATGTACACTACCGGTTGTTGTGAATTTGGATACAAGTTCCCTCAAATATTTTCTAGAGATAGGACGATTCGGAAAACATTCATTGAAAATCATTTCGGTTTCGTGAAAGTTACGCGTCACACCGTTCCAATGGACGAGAATTGACCATTTTAGAAATTGTTGACGTGGTACCTTTCTACTGGTAAAACCGAAAACTAAATGAGAATATTCTAACTGAACAATGATGTTCATTGTCGTACTGTAATTATTGTCATTTCATAAACAAAATATAGCCTAACAAACCTTATCGGGTAGTTGGAATTGCCATATGGCAGATAAAAATTGATATTTCTAGAAATATCGATATTAATGTGTTTGTCTTCAGGAAATTATTAAATGTTCCGCCATTTTGTAGTAGGTGAAGATATTGACTTCATATTCTAGGGTTGTGAAGTATTCGTCAGTCAAAGATGTCTACAAAATTATCTCAGTTATTATTAAAAAACTGATTATTTTTGAAAACTTTGCCACCCTGTATCTCAAAAGTTAAGGCGTTTAGATCATACGTCCATAGGACGTTTTTTCTTTAAAATGGGTCTAAGAATTACCTCCTCAAATATTAGCATGTGTTTAAGGTACACCCTGTATTTTGATGTACTAGATCCAAGTGATGAAACTATATGTAGTAAAACACGTATTAAATAAAATATATAGTGTGGAAATTTCATCATGGATAGTGTTATTAGTCGATACTTGTGCGAGCTAAGGGCTAATGAGGTCTTACCTTTTGACGTGTGCTTCCTAACACGAGTAGCAAGTGAAAATCGATCGTTCAGCCTGCGGTCGAAACTTGTGCGAGCTAAGGACTAACGAGGTGTGATTCCTAACAAGGATTGGACGGTAGCAAGTGAAAATCGATCGTTCAGCCTGCGGCTTGAACCATCGACAGACATATCGGCCGATTGACTGAGTTAACAAAACACCCACGTCGAACCACCTGGCTACCGACCGAGCATGCACACAGTCACTCTGAATTAAAAATTGTTGACAATCCAAGTATTTTCATGCAACCCTCTAATCAGTCCTCGTGAATATTAAAATTTATTTTGTACTCAATTTATCGCTAGTATAGAATAACAAACAATATCCCACTATTCACAAAAAATAGCTGTATGAAGAAAGACACTTTGACAGAGACATACATAATATATAAATATATGTATATAAATTTCATGAATACAGTCCACTTACCATGAATTCTCGCCCACCCTCTGATATGGATACAAATGAAAGACTTTGCTCAAAAGAATCCGAAACGGTGTCACTTTGAATCTAATATGTCAATTATATTCGATTTTCGACTCAGGTATATGTCAAATGTTTTGTGGTGAATTTTGCTGAACATTCACAACATTTTTCAAAATTTAATGCTTATAAATATTTCTTATATTCTTCTTCAAGTTCCATTTTTCTTTTTCTAGGTCTCATTTGCGCAGAAGGCGAACTATGGAGAGAACAAAGAAGATTCGTTCATAACTGCATCCGACAATTTGGTGGGTCGAAAATAGGCCCACAGAGGACTAAAATGGAAAAACTCATCATGACGCACGCTAATGAATTTGTGAATGTGAGTATCTGTCAAAGATTTTGTAACCAACCAACGTTTAAGTTCAATTATTATTTCTGATGAAGTGGAGTCCTTATAACACTTTTCAAGCCATTGCTTTGCTTGAACGGTATTCCTTCCCATCAAGAAGCAGTGTAAAATGAAGACACGAAATTGTTTTCGATCCATTGTTTTGAAAATAACAAAAGCAATGTCACTCTCAGCACAATAACTCACAAACTTATTAGTAAAATATCATAAAATTTCAACAGCTTTCTTTTGAAGATTAGTACTAACTGAAAAAGTGGTAAATGCAATGACACTGGTGCCATTAATGTGTTAGGCCCGAGACTGTTCAGCCCATGTAATATTATATCGATTGTTTGAAATTCAAGTGATCGATGTTTCAATGTGAAATATTTGTATTGATGATTGTATTAGTACGTCTCACAACAAATATAGATACTGTGTGTTTATAAAATAAACGTCAGGTCTCATTACGTTTTTCTATCATATACTTTTCAATAACCTTTTGAAAAGAACAATAGAATCTATATCCTTTAATTCTGGGGTTAAATCATTGAAAACTTTGAGTCCTTTAACAAAGACAGAATTTTCAGAAGTCTTTGCTCTTACTAGAGGTAAGTGAAAGCAATTTTTTGATCTGGTTGGGTATTGGTGCAGTTCAAAATTGTAACTTATTTAATCAATTAGTGCCCGTCATGTTTTGATTTTAAAAATGAAAATAAGTGTCTGGTATAACAAATAATTTTTAATTGCTAACCATCCTAAGCTGTCCAACATGGTTTTTAAGGGAGTGCGTCTGCTACATGACAAAATGATACGCATCGATCGGTTTTGTAGTTTTTGGAACCTGTTGATTTGGTTTTGGTTCAGTAGAAATAAAATAGTGGAGCAATAATTCGAATGGAAAAGTATAATACTATTGTATATCACCGTTTCTGTCCATGCATTAAGGTATCTTGAACATCTGAATAAAAAGTTTACTTTGAAAGAAATATTTTTTGATATTTAGTTTGCATGTTTTTCAAACGTTAGTCCATAGTCAACTATAATACCCAAGTATTTGATTTTTTTCACTTGTCCGATTGGGTTCCCGCATAGTTTGATTTCCAAATTATGGCTTGGCAGTATTTTAATCTGGTTTTCTCTTGCAATGAGCATACATTTTGTTTTATTTTCATTTATTTTAATTAAATTTCTGCAACACCATTTATGAATACAATTTATTGTAGAGTTTATCGTTTCCTTCAAAATTCCATGGTCTGTGGAAGGAAAATAGTTGAGGATGTCATCTACAAATAAGTGGATTTCACACATTCCAGCATCTCCTACTGTATCATCTATATAAATAAGGAAGAGTAAAGGGCCGAAAATACTACCTTGTGGCATCCCAAATTCATTTTCTATTTCGTCGGATTCTATGTTATTCAGAAGAAACTTCTGTTTTCTATTATCTAGATAATTTGCAAACCATTTCAATGCTTTACCCACACTACCGATACTTTCCATCTTTAGCACTAATCTATTTCTATTCACAGTCTCAAAAGCCTTCTGTAGGTCAAGAAATACTGCACCTACTAGTTTATTTCCTTCCATACTTTTTTCCAACCATCTAAAACACATTGAAATGCTGTTTCACAACTATGCTTGCTTCGAAAACCAGATTGAACACTATTAACATGTTGTTATCTTCAATATAGCTTACCAATTGTTCATACACTACCTTTTCTGAGATTTTTTCAATCAAGCTTAGCATATTCATTAATCTTAAATCGGTAGCTTTATTAAAATTAGATACCTTTGGCAGTGTAATTATTGGAATCCATTTGGAAACATACTAGTCTCTAGTGAAGTATTAACAAGGTTGAGCAACGGTTCTGCAATATTATCAGAACAATATTTAATGAACGACATATTTATGTCGTCGGTACTACTTTTATTGGGCATTGAAAAAATAATATTCTTTAACTCCATGTAATCAACCATCCTAAATTCTTCCAATTGAGAGTTATAATGCCGAGTTGTGACAGGGTATTTTGGCATACTTCTGTCACTATTTTCAATTATGTCCTCAATGCTATTGATATAATATACGGTAGTGGTTCCAATTGAAGAGTGTCATTTCTGATTAGGACCAATTTCAGAACTGTAATGATTTTGTCGTTAATACAGTGTATGTGCCATCGCCAATATGCCCATGAACACTCTAGCAGCTTTTACATTGGGAAGTAAGAGAGATTTCAGTTCCAAAATATCAGCAGTTATATAGGCCAGTCTTTATCAACATTTTAACATTGTATGTGCCAATGAGCGGTGGCAGACGAATACATGAACACTACATTACCAATATTCATCAGACATTTCATCTCAAAATCCTACCCTGGATAGGTACAAATGAAAAAACAAATATTTCAACGACATTGCGCATTTGGAAACAGACAAATTTTCAGAAGATAAGTTAATGCATACTTGTGATGCACTGTTTGGAACCTTTGGTGTAGTAATGAATATTACTGGAGTTTTTTCCCAAAACCAAATCGTTATTTTTAACACCTCGACACGTGTATCGATCACCAAGTGATCATCTTCAAGAGAAAGATTAAACTTCCTCTTGAAGATGATCATTTGATGATCGAAATACGTGTCGAGGTGTTAAAAATAACGATTTGTTGTTGAGAAACACTCTAATGCTAATAAACCTTATTTTCGTCTTGCCGTTTCTTACCTTCGAAATTTTATTATAATTATATTTATAACATTTTCAAAAATATTGAAGTGACCCATATTTGATGAACATCCATTACAACGTATTGAAAAAAAAGAAGTATTTTCAAAATTTCACTTTCACCCAAATTTTTTATAGTACATTGGCAATTCAGGAGAGGACACTGCACTCGACCCATTAGAACCACTTCGGCACAGTTTGGGGTCAGCCATAAATTTATTCGTTTTTGGGATATCGTGGTCACGGAATGATGATATATGGATTTGGCTACAAGAGATACAAGAAGAAGGTACCAAGCATATTGGAGTTGCCGGACCTTTGAATTTTTTGCCTTTTTTGAGGTTTGAATAGATTTTTTCTCTATACAGTGTCATCTATAGAGTAAGTTACTGATATAGGAAATATTCTGGAAAACTGAGTTGAAAAAGTTGTTCGCCTTTCAACTTTATATTTTTATCCCAGAATTCATACATTCGATTTGGCTGAATTCTAACAACATAATTTCAACTACTTAAAGAACATTTTTGTACGATATTACTTAAATACATTTGAACTGAAAACCGAATCTTTTCAGAAGAGATAGCTTCTTGAGAAAAAAAATTTCCGTTTGGAAAAATGAGCAAAATATCAAAAATTGGACAATTAAAAATGAAATTGAAGAAGAATAAAAACTATTTTAAACCAAGTTACTTCAAGACATTTCGAGTATCCACAATCGTCTTCGGATGATTCTTGAACTGTTGCTCTGAGAGATGACGATTCATAGATCATTTGAATGCCTACTTCGCCTTTTTCCTCTTTCCTCTCTCTACTTCACCGGTTTAGTGAGAGTTGACTGTTCGAAGCATGATTGAAGGTTTTCATATGTTACGTATCTCCAAGCTAGCTTGGCTGAATGCGTCGTTGGACAATATATATGCAGCTTCTTTGAGCTTCCCCTCAAACCAGTGTTTCTCCCTGTGAATGATCTTAGTTTGGGATAACTTAATGTTATGTTGATGAATCCATACATGCTCTGCTATTCCCGATTTGCTGGTTTCTCCTCGCTGTTTGTTTCTCTTATGCTCGGACTTTCAATGACCTCTGTACTATCATCACTTGGTGTCGGTCCTCTTCATCAATACGTCTTAGAATGGCAAGTTTTGAAATAGTTGTTTCGAATGGGCTTTATCTTTCAGTTTATATACGAAAGAAATGTCTGTAGATAATTTACGAGTACATATTTCTGTGTTTAGTTTAAAAAATCTGTTTGAAATCTGTTTTTCCGTTAATCAGCTGTGGCCCCCATACGAACGAAAACTCTCAGAATTTGAGAAACTTGTGCGAGCTAAGTACTAACAAGGTCTTACCTTTTAACGTGTGATTCCTAGATATATTGAAATCATTACTTACTTCAACCGGCGTGATTGGGGGTGCTATTTTTATCATGAACAATGGTAATTGACTCTTCACAAATTTGGTTCATGCTATTACACCTTCAGTGTCATGCTTGCACATACAAAGATAGCGGACAGTCCATCTAAAACAATGGCCTCCTCGTACCTTCTTTGTGGACGGACGTTATCGACGCGTCCGTCCAACACCGTGCCAGAGATGAATTGTTTGAAATATTCTATATCCCCATTCAGTCAAATGTGCATGATCAATAAAACAATTGAAGGCACACGTGATAATTTTCTAAATTATCAAGTCTGGACCATTATACTCATTGTATTCCTCATGATGAGGTAATTTATTGATCTTTGATGAGATATAGGAAGAAAATATACTGAATGCAGCCTCTGAACTCAAAAATAAATTAACATGTGGCCCGGATAATATACCTTGACAACTTGTCAAAAAACATATTGATATTTCAAAGTATCCTCTACTCATTATCTTCAACGCCATACTAAAAAAAGAGGTTTATCAAGAGGAGTGGAAAGTATTACGGATTTGTCCGGTACACAAATCAGGAAATGAATCAGAAATTTCTAACTATCGACCGACTGCACTAATCTCTGCATTTTCCAAACTTTTTGAGATTATTTTATTCGATTTGATATATGCATATGTGAGAAATCTGATATCAGAATTTCAACATGGCTTTATGAAAATAAGGGAAACTGTATCGAATCTCTGCACATTTACTCAATTCATATCCAACTCTCTGGATAATAGATGTCGAGTTGATATAATCTATACAGATTTCAGCAAGGCATTCGATAAAGTTTCCCATCAACAATTATTATTGAAGTTGGTTGCGTATGGTATTTCCTCCTACAAAATCTACTATGATCTTATTTGAATCATCGTAGTCTATATGTCGAGTATGAAGGTGAAAAAATCGGATTTATTAAAAACACAAAGTCGGGGGTTCCCCAAGGATCTAATTTGGGACCGCTGCTATTTTTACTTTTTATAGATGACATATGCGCTTCTATACAATCAACAAAGCTAATTTTTGCTGATGATTTCAAGCTTTTCAGAGAAATACGGGATTCGTATGATTGTCTGATTGTCTGAATGTTGAAAAGTGTAAAATTATGACTTATGCTCGTATATTGAATCCATACCAGTTCAGTTTTACAATTGATAATATCGACTTACCAAGAGTTGATGATACTCTCGACTTAGGAATCTTATTTGACAATAAACTTACATTTAATGCGCACATTGAAAGCATTGTTCAGAGAGCTTCTAAGTCGCTGAGATTTGTTATAATAAACTGCAAAGAGTTTAGATCATTTGAATGTATTCGTTCAGTTCACTATAGTTTGGTACGTAGTAAACTAGAGTATTGTAGTTCTGTCTGGAATCCTAATCAAACAAAATACATTTATGCTTTGGAAGGTTTTAATAAGAAATTCCTCAAGTTTGCCTATTATGAGAAATATGGAAACTATTCGGCTAGAAATTATGAATACACTTGCCTTCTGACTGAATTTAGTTTTGTAACTTTGAGAAGAAGACGAGAAATTGCAGATCTCATTCTCATCTATAAATTGGTCATTGGTCCCATTGACACACCAACTCTACTGTCCAAATCAATTTTAATGTACCTCGATACGTCCAGATCAAATATCACATTCCACATTAATGTACCCAATTCTCAACACCATTTCTACAGCCCGTTAACCTCTATGTCCCGAACTGTCAATAAATACTCTGTAGATTTATTTTTTTCTACCCTAAATCAATTTAGAAATAGTTTGTATAGATTATTTCCCAGCTGAATATCAAAATGTTCACTTAACACGTTGAATGCCGTATGTATCTAACACGGACAGACGCGACTCAGTGTTTCGATGGCCGCGTGAATCCATGGCGGATACATAAGTATTTCTGTAATTTCAGCCACATGTATCTGTGTTGGCTGCATGCCTTGCGCAGATCTTTATGGGAGCGTTCGCAATATGGTCTGGCATACCTAAAAGCATATTTGGCCTGTGAATTTTATTCACAGTTTTTTCAGGGGACGATTTTGTTAGTAAGTAGGTTTGAAATTGAGAATGTTTTTTATTCGACAACAATAAGCGCTAAATTATAATGAACAAAATGTATAATCACAGAAGAAATGAACGTTACAAAAACAGATTGGGTATTTTATGCCATGAAACATTTGTGTACTTCAAAAAAACAAGATAAGCAATAATGTTTTTCACATGTTATACATCTGAATTTACTTTGTGTTGTTTGATTAGCTGCAGCCTTTCTCCCAACCTCTTCAGTTTTTTTCTTATAACATCGTACACATCTTCCTCGTTTTCTGCCAGCACCTTGACTTTCTTCCAAAACATGTTGTGCTGAATGTTCATCAGCTGGTGCCGTTTTGTTAAGTGTCTCAGTTGGAAAATGTAACAAATCTGATATAACGCATTCTTTGAATTTTGTAATCGGCATTTTGTCGTTTGCAACCTCTTGATGCAATATATATGCATTCACCAAAGCCGTACCCAATAGAAGCTCAACTGCCAATTTTCGGTACCATTTCAAGCTCCTTCTCAAAGATGATGAATATGCTTTCATTTGGTCTGAAAGGTCGATGAAAGCTTTACATTTGTTATAGTCGCTTATTATTTTTGGTTTCTGTACTTCACCATCCCTTTCACTTACTGTTACTAGTTCATCAGTGTGTTTTGTACTAAGGACCAAAACATCTCTTCTATCTCTCCATTTCAGAACCACCACGCCTGTGTTGCTCTCAGCTGCGACAATTTCATTTTTATTTATATTTTTAGTGACAACATCTTTGGGATTGAGCTTCCTATTTGAACGTAATGTCCCCACTAAATGTGTCTTTCGGTCTAACAAAGTGTGAGCTAGGGAAACACTTGTATAGTAATTATCAGTATACAAGGTTCTCCCTTGATCTAATAAATTGGTTAAAAGGGAAAGTACTACGCTCGTTGCTACCGTTTGACCTTCAGTTTTTTCAGTCCCGCAATATACGCTAAAATTATAGGTATATCCTTTATCGACACATAACTTGAATAGCTTTATGCCAAATTTGTGGCGTTTGTTTTTTATGTATTGTCTAAACGACAAACGTCCTCTGAAAGGGACAAGTGTTTCATCTATGCATAGCTCATTTTGAGGAATAATAACAGCTTGAAAGCTTACTAGGAGTTTATCAATGAGCGGGTTTATTTTATGAAGTCGATTTTGTATGACTCCTTCATTATTGTTGAAATGAAGCATTT